CTTAATAAAACACAGTATTTTTACTACATTTATGGTGTATTTTAAAACAATGAAAAATGTGTTTTATGTAGACAACTTCTAGACTCTAATAATTATCTATTTTTCTGATGGTACCAGGGATTGAACTCGGGACCTTGTGCTTGCTAGACAGGCACTTATGTCTGCTGAGCTATATCCCTGGCAATAATTATCCATTTTTCTCACCACAATAATATTTGGTGAGACAGCTAAAAGCCATGTGCCATGTGAGAGAGCTTTTCACTGTTTGGAATTGTCCTACTCTTTACAGAATATCTATCCTCCGATCTATCCTCGGCTTACTCGTTACCACTTCCCCTAATTAAATGTATGGTGTCCCATGAATTCCACTTAGAGAATCCCCACTAAGACTGAGTGTATTAAGTGAATACTATCTATTTCCCATATGGAACTACACATGGAAGAAAAGAAGCCAGTGATCTAGGGTGGAGTAACAGAAGAATAGCAAAGAAATAAGATAAAGACCAGAAGTATCTATGAAAATAGCAGATTATTATGCATCTGGGATAAAGAGTGTTGAGTTTTGCTAAAAGAAAAGATAAAAACTAGCCAGATTTTAGTAATGCATTTTTAAGACTATCATCCAAATAAAGCATTTTATAATGATAATAAAGCAAATTATAATGATTTCTATTTTGATAGGGAGATAAGAGAATAAATTTAGGCTTCCAGCTACCCTGTGCTAGTGGGACCTACTGGAGCCAGCCCAGGCGCACCATGGGTGAGACCCTCTTCCACCCCCTTGGGATGCCACCGACCACTCCGCAGCACCTTTGCCACCCTGGCCGCCAAGTAGGAATTTCTGCTGTGTTCCAGGAAACCCCAGACCCAGTCCTAGCCCAGGCCTGTTGAGTGTGTGGGAGAGCTTTCAGGCTACCCTGTGCTGGTGGGACCTACTGGTCCCAGCCCAGGCGCAGCGTGGGTGAGACCCCCTTCCACCCCCTTGGGACGCCCCTCATGACTCCATATTACGGCCCCACCCCCGCCTGCGAAGTAGGAATTTCTGCCGTGTTCTGGGAACCCCCAGATCCATTCGTAGCCTGGGTCCGGTGAGTATGTGGGAGAGCTGCCTCTCCCCGCTACTTCACCTTGTCCCTTCCAGACTCAGCTCAGGCCTGGCATACAGGCCTGGATGAAACCCTGCAGCTGCAATCCCTGCAGAGAATGTAGGGGACAGAACCACCCAGCTAGTCCAGGAGCAGAAAATCTTGCCAGAGGGGCACAACAGGTTCAACCCCAAGGGCAGCAACAGGAAAGAGCGGAGCACAGCAGCCAGATCCAAGCCAGGCACAGCTGGATAAATCCAAACTTTGTAAATCTGCACCTGAACTTCAGTAGGTGCTAAGGTTATAACTGCAACAAA